TAAAGCTAGGGTTTAGGTAATGCTAATTTTGAATTACCCTATTTTTGTTAACAGAACAAACCCCTACAGGAAGATGACTTCACTTATTAAAATGAGTAGGTTGTTTGGCGATGGGAGGGGCCTTCTCCAGCTTACAGGCTCCAATTCTATTTAATGTAATTCTATTACATTCCAGTGTTGCTAACTTTTGTGATTTTATCATGATATTCGATGCTTCTCTAAAAGCCCCAGCTTCTGGAGTCAAGTTATTAGATGAAAGTCTGCTTTTGGTTTTTAAAAGGTAAGTTTCTTACCCTCCCAACTGCACAGAAAACCTTGAGAACCCAAAAACTCACAATGTATCTCCTTTGAAAATTTCATTATTTCTGGGGGCCTGACTCTTGCTCTTTGAACACTGTGAGTTGGCAATACAGATATTCAAGTATTACGGTAAGGAAATCCATCCCTGAGGAGTTCAAGCCACGAAATTTCAGGTTGCTGTACTAGCGGAAGACTGAGCATTTAGACACAGCTGTAATCAATGTAGTGTTAAAGGAAGAAATAAGAGCAATTTTTCTACGGTATTTTATTCTGGTTGCCTCCTACTCAAAGACAAAATAATAAAACCTATTCATTGAAATCTTATTTAACTGCTTCATCTCTCCACAGTAATTGATTGGGTTTTAGACACTCAGCCAAAGGATATAATCAAATCAGGTTTGCTTAGTGATCTCCTAAGTAATCGTGACAGAATATGCACAGTGTCGGAAAACTCAGTCTGTACGCTTCCTCTAACTGATTAAAAGATTTGATCACTTAAATTTTTCCATTTAGACAATTAAGCTGAAGAGACACAACAAATACAGTGGACAGATTGAGAGCAATAATGGATGGTGACCAACTACCTTTTTATTTTTTTGTGGTAAAGTGAATTATTAGTTTGGGATATTTATGTATTATAATAATTAAAGGTTTGTTCCTGCTCCCATTGCCAACTCCTACTCACTTCACTAAGACATGAATAAGCCCTTAAAAAACACGCATATTATCCCTGAGCCCTGTGAAGAGACTACAGTATTCATAGAATCATAGAATATCAGGGTTGGAAGGGACCCCAGAAGGTCATCTAGTCCAACCCCCTGCTCGAAGCAGGACCAATTCCCAGTTAAATCACCCCAGCCAGGGCTTTGTCAAGCCTGACCTTAAAAACCTCTAAGGAAGGAGATTCTACCACCTCCCTAGGTAACGCATTCCAGTGTTTCACCACCCTCTTAGTGAAAAAGTTTTTCCTAATATCCAATCTAAACCTCCCCCACTGCAACTTGAGACCATTACTCCTCGTTCTGTCATCTGATACCATTGAGAACAGTCTAGAGCCATCCTCTTTGGAACCCCCTTTCAGGTAGTTGAAAGCAGCTATCAAATCCCCCCTCATTCTTCTCTTCTGCAGGCTAAACAATCCCAGCTCCCTCAGCCTCTCCTCATAACTCATGTGTTCCAGTCCCCTAATCATTTTTGTTGCCCTTCGCTGGACTCTCTCCAATTTATCCACATCCTTCTTGAAGTGTGGGGCCCAAAACTGGACACAGTACTCCAGATGAGGCCTCACCAATGTCGAATAGAGGGGAACGATCACGTCCCTCGATCTGCTCGCTATGCCCCTACTTATACATCCCAAAATGCCATTGGCCTTCTTGGCAACAAGAAGCATATGACAACGTGTACACTGCGCTTAGGAAATCCTGGGCCAAGTTTAATCTTGCCTGTCTCTGAATGGAAGTGGTATTGAAGACAGACCACCCCTAATTGCTTCCTTTCACCAGTGCAGGGCATTATATCTACACAAGGCATAATGCCTCCACGGATGATGGAGTGAGCCAAACCACACTTTTTAAAAAAGGGACCAAAGCTGCAGAGTTTAACGTGCCAAGGGCCGAGCCATGGCCACACTCATGCATATGGGCTTTAGGATGATGAGTATCATAACCAATGCTAGCCAGCGCCCATCTTGAGTGAAGACAGCCAAACTATAGCCATGTCTTGCCAGAGGAGTGGGGGTGGGACAGTCATCATTTACTTCTATGGGTATGTCTATACCATAAAAAAAAAAAAAACACTGCGGCAGCAAGTCTCAGAGCCCAGGTCAATTGACTCAGGCTCATACTACAGGGCTAACAATAGCAGTATAGATATTCAGGCTCAGGCTGGAACCTGGGCTCTGAAACCCAGTGAGGAGGGAGTGAGTAGAGCTAGCTGACAGGGCCAGTCAGGAGGGAAATACATATTACAAGTATTTTACTAGCATTGGATACAAAACCATTACCACATGAGTCTCCAACAGCACAGATGGTAAATGTGATGGGTTACCCTCCACTCCGGGGTGCCACCTGATGTACTGGAGTACCACTGAGCCTGCCTGTTCCACCAGTCGGGGCTCCTTGTTACCACAGTATCTGGGCACCTCACAACCTGGAATGTATCTATCCCCAAAATAGCCCTATGAGGCAGGGCAACGCCATTATCCCCATTTTACAGATGGGTAACTGAGGCACAGAAACTAAGTGACTTGCCCAAGGTCACACAGGGACTCTGTGGTGCAGTAAGGAATTAAACCTGGTCTTCCAAGTCTTAGGCTAGTGACCTAACCACTGGACTACCTAGGCTGTACCTAGGTCCCCCAAAAAACTGGTCAGAAAGAGGTAGGGATGACCCTAGATCACTGAAATTTGCTACACATCTGTTTTTTGCACCTGTATCCGTGTTTTTAACTGCACCTGACCTGACAGCTGAAGAGACACTCCTCCTGTTCATACCGAAGAGCTTACTAATTAGACCCATTTCATCCAAAGCAAATAACCTAGAATGTTTTTCAGCATAGTCCTCTAGAAAGTAATTTCCTTGCACTCAGTTTGTCACCATTAGCAAAATCCGTTTTCCAGCATTACTATTCATTAGTGCTACTCCATTTCCAGCATTATTTTAAAAAGTGACAAATGGCTCCACAGAGCTATGAGTTAGAGTCATATGGCGGGTGTCACACTCGACGATTTATCCCAATTATCATACTTCCAAATTTACTCTCCCTTGGCGTCTCTGATTCAGCCCCATACTTCAAGACACAGACTCCTGCTGATAGAAAATACTGTAGTTGGATTGTTTTGGAGGGGAACGGTATTAAATTTTCTGTAGTAGAACATGAGGTACCAAAAAGCTTCGTTTGGGTGGTTTTTATTGCTTTCTATTTTACGTTTATGATACGCCCCATCTGTGTTGGGATTGGATACACAATTACACACACGTCAAAATCACTCCTAATGGCACAGTAACCATTGCAGAATTAACTGCACCATTACAAACTGAAGTCTTGAAAAGAGAAAAAAGAAAAAAAAACAAACCACATTTTGTTTCCTAGCTACAGAACAGTTATGACATACTGTAGAATAGAGTGGGAAAATAACACCCATTAACTATGCCATATGAAGTTCACGGTGTCCTTTCAAACCATGAGGTGTGGAGAGCCTGTTTAGGATTACAGTACCAATTAAGGCTCAAGTGTAGATTTAAATAGGATGGCCAGTACAGAATGCTTGAACTTAGCATTTACATTGTAGTTATCTTCAAAGTCCTTTTCAAAATGACATCAATCGGTCTGCACTGGGACTGTTATTTAAAATACTTTTACTCTTAAATTTACAGACTATCAGAATAGGGGAAACAACTGACACTCAGGGGGATACAGCTGTTTTCACAGTATGATCTTGAGATGTCCAGCACGCTGGCAGAATATGAAAATGAATGGTGTCTGTCTATGTGCTCTTGGGGAGAAATAATACCCAAGCTAAGTACAGTTTGAACGGTATTGAATTAGTTAATGGGACAGAAAAAGAACGAACAGTTGAGAAGTTGAAATAACTTTCAACTCCTCCTATCCATCACATTTTCACTTCAGTGTTTTTATTTATACTGAGGGTTATGTTCTTTCCTACCAGGCTTACCTGGCCCTCCCTACTCAGGCAAAAAAATTCCTGCTGAATACTATGAAATTTTTGCCTGAGTAAGGAGTGCTAGTTCAGGTATTATCTTAAATTTCAGCTTCCGACAAGCTCACGCCCCTCAAGGGACGATTAACAAGACCATCCATCTTGGGACATGCACTTCGGCATGCACGCGCACACAAAAGAGAGACCCAGTTTCATACAATCTAAAACATATGAACACATTTATTTAACACTTCTGTGACCCTGCACCATGGGGAAGTTTACTCATTTTTTTTAACTGAATCAGGTTCCGAGATGACTTATTAGTGCTTGGTATTTTTTCCAGTGGACTTAACATTGCAAGAAAAAACTAGCTGCAAAGTAAAGCACAGCATGTTCAGTTTCTTGGATAGCTCCTTTATAGCCTAAATGTCATCTTTCCAGATGAAAAATTCTTTGGAAACTCAAGGATGCTTTTGAAATTATTCCCACCCTCACTATCGAAACAGCAAGAACATACACTGAATTAATCCCTCCACCAAATTCTCAGGAACTATAAAAGGATCTTTTAAAAATATCTTTTTAAAATGTCATATAAATAAATTAAAAATTAAAGAGGTCTATTAAACCACATTTATCATCATATTAATATTTTCTTACTCTGGATGCAAAATTTAGCAATCTTTGGTAATGAAACACCTTAAACTTAAAAACCTCCCATTTGCAACTGTAATAAGAAGGGCATTGAGGTACTGACCCTGCAACTGGATCTCCATGTGTAAGCACGTGTCCAGTTGCAATATCTAGGCTATGTGTTACTAAGTGTGTGTACACAGCACTCAGCAGATTGTCAGCATGCAACAAATCCGATTTAATTTTTGGAATTATTGTTTGAGGTTTTTTTTAAAATAGGTATGCTGAGTTCACAGAATTGCAAGCAGGTCTTTCTCTCACGCTAAGAATCCAGGAGATTATAAACACTCCAATTAATTCACCAAATGATAGAATGACAGTCCCCAAAGTAAATCATCATCAGTACTTTACCTCCAGCAAAACACACATTTGTTTGCACAAGCCAGGCTCGGTGTGGTCTCCATGCAGCGGTGACTTTCAATGCCATAAAAAGTATGTTTGTAGCAGCCTCCTCTACCTCGCAGCATAGACTAGAAACAGAAAGGGGAAAAAAGCCACATAGAAGTTTAACACACAGTTTGCAACCAAATGATGCAAAAAGCAAAATAATGTAGAAAAACAAGATTTGACAACTCTGGCCATATTTCAGCTTCCTTCATAGAAAGAAATAAGACAATGGATCAAACTTAATTCTTACTCCCATTATACAGGAGATCAAGCTAGATTATCACAATGGTTCCCTTCTGGCTTTACAACCTATGAACATATGAAAATTCCAGTGTAACTGACTTCACTAGAGACTTATACCTGTGACTAATTAGCCCAGTAACCTGAATACCAATAAGGCTGCTTAAATTAAGCTTCCTTTTGCCAAAGAATCCACAGCAAAGTCAATGCATTGGAATGGAGATCAAGTCCCCAGTGCTGTATTAACTATAATACAGCAACACCCAAACATCTTTACAGGCATTTCTTCAAGTTTTGCATCATTTTTGTTTTTAATACGGTCATATAAATGCTGTATGGTTATTTGTTCCCCTAACAGATCTGCAGTTTCAATCATCAGCCACTTTGATGTTCATTCAAATCCATCCATGGACAGATTCCACAAGCCAGGTTAAATGTATGCAGTAGGTCACAATAATGACAGATATAGTCTATTTGAGAAAATTCATGGCAAGCAGATCAGTGTACACTACAGCAGCTTATGTATGTGCCTATATAAAAAGTTTACATCAGTGCTGGGAAATTCATGACTCTCCTTTACAGGAAGGAAACAACAAACAATTCTGTAGCTTAAACATCATTTTTTCTTGAATAGTATCATACCCCACCACATCTGTTATTAAAGCTTTTAGCCTTACAAAAATACTCACTATCAATAACCAACAGGTCAAGCCACTTAGCTGTAAACTTAAGGTAACTTTCTTGTAAAAAGTTACTACAAATAGTAACAAAAACCAATTTAAAGACTACCTTATTAAACATCCACTTGTTTTAATTCTCCTAAAAAACTGCTTCTTTCTCAATCCTAATTTAAATAATACAAACCCTCTTTTACACCAGGAGTCTGTTCCAGGAGGACTGCATTATCTCCTTAAGCCTGGGTTTGCAGCATCTATCCAAGCGGTTCTCAAACTGGGGGTCGTGACCCCTTTGGGAGTTGCAAGATTATTACTTGGGGAATCGCGAGCTATCAGCCTCCACAACCCTTCTTCACCTCCAGCATTTATAGTAGTGTTAAATATTTTTTTTAAATGTGTTTTTAATTTATATGCAGGGGTTGCATTCAAAGGCTTGCTGTGTGACAGAGGTCACCAATACAGAAGTTGGAGAACCACTGTTCCCGTAGGAATTTGCAGTCTATTTAGAATGTATGTTGCTTGGGACAGAGATTGTTTTTTTTTGTTTTGTTTTGTTTTTTGGCACAACACATCAGATCAACAACAACAAATGGGAAAGGATTGCTATCACTATCAAGAGGGAGAGAGGAATATAATGGATTAACTTTTAAACCAAACCCTTTTAATCTAAAAGCCCCGGTGATTGAAATTAAAGTTTCATCCTCTTAGAGAAAAAGAAAATACAGCTAATGCCTAACCATTACAGTATAATTACGCACTTAGTGATTTTTTAAAAAAGAGTTAAAAAAGGTGATTGTGCCCCCTGCCTTCAAACAGGTATTAAAAGTACTTTTTGTATTATCGTAGCACCTAGGAGTCCTTGGAGCCCTTGCTTGGGCTTGCTGTACAGAACAACACAGAACAAAAACACAGTCCCTGCCCAATGCCATATGTATGGATTTGAGAAGATGCACATCATCTAAGAGAGCCAGATCGTGCAGATGGATATTCTGAGATGCCCAGAAATACACATTTTTCATACCTGCCAATTCTCTTCTATAATATGGCAAAGCATAAATACGTCTAATTAGTTAAGATGGCACTGTACAGCTTGTTTTCTTTAATAAACCTTAGGCCTACTTCTGCTTTCCACTGGTTTAAATTAAAATCAATTAAGATACTGTCTGAAACTGGTAATGTAGACCAGATCTATACCACACACTTCAGAATAACTACGTACTGCCCCCATCCATTCCCAAATTGTAGTTCTATACTTTTTAATGGGTTTTATGTAATATTGCTTGAAGCGATGGCACTTTAAAACAAATCAGTTCTCTATTCTTCGCTCTCATTTGCGGCACTGACAAAATCGGAAGACTTTTTCTTTACGTTTTTCGCTACCTGCTAGTATGTTAAAAACCACAGAAGGAACATTTTTAAAAGTAATTTTACAGCCCACTTTTTGCAATCGATGCAGTGGTCACCAAAAGCATTACCAGGATCAATATGCCTTACAAAACATTCATGACAGTACGGCAGGGTGCACTTTAAACCATTCAGAGGTGCAGATATTGTGATGTGAGACTTCTCCATCAGGCATTTCAGTAAAAACTAGATTCAGCCACCCATGTTGGTAATCATAATTCAAAGAGTTCTTTTCAAAACAGACCACGCTAATCATGCGTCAAAAACAGACACACCAGGAACTTATCAATGCCATGACTCCAGAATTAAAGATGTGTCATCACGTTCACTAAAAGTGCTTAATCCTAGAGTTTATAATTCTGAGAAAGTTTTAGTAAAATATATCCTGAATTTGCAAAATTCATAATATTCTCTGTTAGGAGACAAGGACAAGGCAGTACAATCACAGAAAGCCAGAAACATCAGTTAAAGGACAAACTGGTCTGAATACCCTGCTACAGCTATTACAATGGAAGGTGTCATCTTTGCTTTAGAAGATCTTGCCTCTGTGGTGCAAGCAATCTGCCCAATTACTTTTTCATGCTATATATTACTGCAGACAGGAGCTTCAACAACAACAGGAATAAGCCGCAGAAAGTGAGACTACTAGAGAGTGGCTCCAGCTTCTTGGCGTAAACCATATTTCTACTCTTCACAGCAGGGATTTAATAAATCAAAATGCAAAGTGACATTATAATAGACAGCTTAAGGTTTGGTTACAGGGAATATATTTTCAAACGGTTATTTTGGACAGAGAAGGGTCACACCTGATTTAGGTCTCTAGATGTTTATTTTTGTTAGTTTTGCAACCTTAAAAAAAAAATAAAAAGGTACCTTTGTCCACCGACAAAGCTTCACACCGGAATGGCTTCCAATCAATTTGTAACCTGGACAGAAGAAAGGGAAGAGTTAGTTCCATTGATTTTAAGCTGCAGTAAATGGCACACAAAATTAATCTAGTCTCTGAGCATTAACATCTCCCATCCCCTCTAGCCACCCCTAAAAATTAAAGGTGTTCAGATGATGGATGTGACACAATACTAGAGCTTGTCTACAGGGAGAGCTAATGAGCTGCAAGCCAGAGTGTGAATCTATAGCACACTAGCTTGCTGCACACTAACTCGCCATGTGGCCCCCACTGCAAAGTGCACTATGGAACTTTTAGTACTCTGTAGTGATGTCCACGCAGCAAACTAGTACTTGGGGAGCTAGTGCGCGGGAGATTCACACCTTGGCTTGCCACACACTAACTCTTTATGTAGACACGCCCTACGTTAACATGGTGGAGAAACTTAACACACACATCAGCAATTCCCTGCATTAGAGTTATTTCATTGATAGCATCAGCCTTGTTTTATTCTCGCGAGCCCAGATCTCAGAGGGAAAACCACATGTCACCCAAAACTGACTCCACCTCATTCAGGATGGCTGCTGATTGTTTACAAATGATGTATTTATATTGCCCAGTCTCCCTCTGATGAAAAGATGGTGGCCCCAAGAAGGGGCCATGTAACAGAGTGGCAGACTCTAGGACAAATCACAGTGACAAAGAGTCTGTGTTGAGGCATCCGCTATTTAGGCACATTGTAACTATGGCCGAGTCACAGCAGCAGGCAATCCAACTAGCTCCAAACCAGTCATACAGAGGATGGTATCTCCTCTCAGACACAAAAGGAAATAGGGTCTGGAACCCCAGGGTTTTTCCTGAAGACCCCTTGTAACAGCTAACCCTGGTGGAGGAAAGCTTAGGCAGAAAGGGGTGAATCTGGACTAGCTGCATGGTGCAAAGTCCAGGTGCTCATAGGTTTCTAGGGAAGGGCTAAAGAGTATAAAGCAGACTTCAAGGTAGGAAGACCCTTCCGTCTCATAATGCATCATCTAGCCCCTCAGAAAGGTGCAGGAATCAAAAGCACAGGTTATACCAGAACAAGAGACTTATCACACCTCTGCTCACCTCTTCCAGAAGCTTCTCCCACACTAGTGTCTCAGCCCAATTCTGAAGGGAGCACCTCAAGAGAATGATTGTTCCATCTTCATGCCCTTTCAACATAGACTCAACATAGTACCAGCAAATGGCCTATGTGAAGTGATATTTGTTCACTAAAACGCGGCAGACACCAACCCAGGGCCTCATGTAGGCCTCTAAATAGCCAGTGTATGTCATTCTCCAAATTGGCCAGACCTTAAATTAGAGGCCTAGCAGTGACTTTTCCCCTGGACAAGGGAAGGGGATCTTCTTCAGCAAAGTTGACAGACCAAGGAGAATTATAGCCAGCTCTCCTCAGTCCACTCATGCCACAACAGGGATAAGAGATGGAAATGGAAAGGAGAATGATGGGCTTGGAATGGAAAGCAGGAAGGAAGCCTCGGGATTTTAAACTGGACTCAGGATATTGTGAGCCAGATTCTCAGCTGGTGTAACTTGGGGTAACTCCATTGTCTTCAGTGGAGTTATGCTGATTTACACCAGCTAAGACTCCAACCCTATATTCTGAAGATAATGTAAATTTGACATCACTTCATGACATTACAACAGTACTGACACACATTTCTTCAAATTCATTGGGATGAGGGGATTAATTAGATGATGTTCATTAAGCTCTAAGCACTATTACCCTAAATAACCTACGTTAGGTAATTTTCCTCTTTGGAAAAAAAAATGCTTAGATACCCAAATGTCTGTAAGATTTAAATTCTCTACGAAATGGGCACAAAGAGATAAGTGGGATTTGGAAAGCCCACTTGCATAACTCAGACCAAATGCAGAGCTCTTTACTAATCAATGCAGACTGGACACCCACAGACCCAAAGGTTTACCTCAGCTAGCTAGTTTTTCTTGGTTAATTCCAGCAGATGTTTATGATGTTTATTCTTTTAAGGCAAATAAAAATTTATGAATCAAGTCCTCCTTCCTGCCCAGAAGCATGAGCTAGATATAAAAACCTACCATACGGCACAAGGAACCATTCGGCACACTGCCACCCAGAGCGAATCAAAGGGTGGAATTAGTGTGTTTATTTTACTTTCTTCACTTGTGAAGTTATCACACACATCTCATTGCCACCAGGCTCAGGGTGATGCTCTGTCCTGATTTACACACCCCTGCAGACTCCAATGAAGTCAGTGCAGAATTAAAATAAGAGTAAGAATCTGAGTCAGATGTACCAGCTACAAATAAAGCAGCATGATATACTGCAAGCACAGAAGGAGGCTGTGCAACTGTCTATCCATTGAGCATATACAGCACTCAACAGGCTATTCCTGTTCATAGGTATTGAGCACCCTTCACCTCCTTTTGAAGTCAATGGGCGAAGAGAGCACTCAGCACCTCAACGGACTAGCCGAAAGCATGTTACGTACACAGAAGTTAGACAAAAATTAATTCTGAAGGACAATGAACTATTGGCTGCCAAAAATCCTATGGGCCAGAATGAATTACTTTAATGGAGAAAGACTGTGCCTACCCCAAAGAGCTTATAGTGAACAAATTGGAGAAAGTTCAGAGAAAAGCAACGAAAATGATTAAAGGTCTAGAAAACATGGCCTACGAGGGAAGATTGAAAAAATTAGGTTTGTTTAGTCTGGAGAAGCGAAGAATGAGGGGGGACATGATAACAGTCTTCAAGTACATAAAAGGCTGCTACAAGCAAGAGGAAGAAAAATTATTCTCTTTAACCTCTGAGGATAGGCCAAGAAGCAATGGGCTTAAATTGCAGCAAGGGAAGTCTAGGTTGTACATTAGAAAAAAATTCCTAACTGTCAGGGTGGTCAAGCACAGGAATAAATTGCCTAGGGAGGTTGTGGAATGTCATTGGAGATTTTTTAAGAGCAGGTTACACAGACACCATCAGGGATGGTCTAGATAATACAGTCCATCAGGACTAAGGACTAGACGACCTCTCAAGGTCCCTTCCAGTCCTATCATTCTATGAATGGAGCTATTCCATTTTATACCTGCTGAGGGTCTGTCCCCATCTTTTTAGGAAATAACACATTTTGCCAATGTATTTGGGGACCTGTGTAGCCCCCAATTAACATTTTAAATGTGGGATTTATTTTCACCAAAACTACATAGAGAAACAGAGTTTAGGGCCAGAAGCGACCAAAGATCACCTACTCTGACCTCCTGTGTATCACAGGCCACCACCATCACCCAGCACCCGCATGCTAAACCCAACAACCAAAATTAGACCAAAGTATTACACCGCTCAGGAGACTGTTATGCACCACAAGCAGAAAATAGCAGGAGCCAGATGTGCATCAGAGCCCAAGGCCCCCGCAATGGCAGGGAAATATGCCCAGATAATCCTGGCAAGGGGCTTACACCCACATGCTACAGGGAAAAGCAAAAAAACCCAAGGCCATATGAGGCATGGGAGCCTGGTCTAGTGGATAGGGCACTTAACTGGGAGTCAGGAGACTTGGAGTCTATTCCTGACTCTGCCACTGCCCTGCAGTGTGACCTTGAGGAAGTCACTTCGTTTCCCTGTACCACTTCTTCCCCTCCTGTCCTGGGTCTGTCTTGTCTGTTTAGGCTGTAAGCATTTTGGGGTAGGGACCTCTTGTTAGGTTTCTATAATGCCTACCACCGTGGGGCCCTGATTTCAACTGGTGCCTGTAGGTACTACTGTCATTCATTTTCATTATTTGTCTGAGTAGAACCTACCATGCGCCTTCTTCCTCCCTTCCAAGAAGGTGCCATTGGCCACATTTGTAGCTCATGTCACTCCACAGAGCTCCCATGCCCTATTTTTTTTAAAAAAAACATTTTACCCATTCATCAGGTGCCACGTGCAGCCCTCCATCGACAGTTTTAGGAGAGATTTATTTATTTTCTCCAAGACTACAACACCGAATGTCAGTAAGAAAGTCTCAATAGTATCACTTTTTTTAAAAAAAAAGAAATACTATTATATTAACGTTTTACTGAAAATAAAACCTACCTGCCCAAATCCCCTGTTGACCAGTTCATGGTAAAGAAAAAATTAGATCAATCTTAAGAGATGTTGAGACCCTGGGATCCTGAATCTACAAGGTTTATTTCCCTTGAGTAAGGGCCACTGATGCCAAATTCACTATGCCGAGCACCTGCAAACCTCCAATAAAGGCAATGGGGACGGCACATGCCCAGCACCTCCTAAGATTTTGCTCAACATTTAAGAGAGGCTGAAGCTCTCAGCCAACTTTAGCGATGAAAAGTGTCTGAGTCATCTAGTTGGCCTGTGCCAGGAATTATACTATTGGAAGAAATAGCACAGAGATCTGCAGAAGTGCTTAAAAGCAACTTATGTACCCAAGCTCTTCACCTGTTGTGTTGACTGTGTGGAAAGTTTGGTGACAATTGCCCACTCAGCCATCCTAATGGTTTCAAGGACTATAAAGTAATGGCAAAGTCCTAAGCCAAATGAAACCCATCCCCACGCAGGTTAGTGGCTAAAGTTTAACAGCTCAGTACGGCTATTTTAACGAGTAAAACCATTCCTCCAATTTCTCTAAAGCCCATTTATGTATCTCCCATTTGGTCTAACAATACCAGCACCAAGCCAGCCTAAGTAACACAGGAGAAAGGAGCACAAAGGACTGTGCATACTCATGATTAAACTATACAGGATATGAAAGCACTTTTTATGGATGCAAAGGAGACAGAATCAAACTGAGGCTCTTCTCTCTCATTATGTTGTGTGTCTGCTACCTGAACCATACATAATGAACTCTTCAGTAGCCCAGGCCAGACACCTTTTCCATCAGTGGGGCCAGGTCACCTTCACTGTTATACTTTTTTTGGTTCTGTGGTAACTCTATTGATCTTCTTTCCTGTTTGCGATGCTTACAATGGCTGTTTCAATTAAATGCAGCTACTGGTCCCATGTAAAAGCACTCAGGGCAA